TATGATAGGATGGGGAATTCGTATTAGCAGATTACAGTCTTAACAAGTATATGATATCCCTATAGCATACCTTTGTAGGACCATGAATATTCAGTATTCTATTGATGTTATGAGAATTCATATTAGCCGAGTACTATCCTAACAAGTTATATGATGGTGTCCATATAGCTTACCCTTATAGAACCATGAATATTCATTATTCTAGGGATGCCTTTAATAATCAAGAGACGTAGTAAAAGAAAAAAAATTCTCGTATTTGCGTAACATCATCTATTGTATATAGTAAATATGATATATATTTTTTTTAATTTGTAGGCATGCCATTGGCCCATAAAGGGGTGGCATGTCGTATTTTTATATATGAATTTATATTAATATTATATAATGCCAATCAACCGATTTAAATAAGGTTGAGGATTATAATTAACATTGAGGAACACGTGATAAAGAGATATTTTTGTGTTCCAATATAATTGTAAAAAACATTATTAAAAAATTAAGAGATTTTTTTTTCCTGATATATTTTGATAATTGAAATTCTTGTAGATTATTTGTGTTTTTTTTTGTATTTTTATTCAATATGGAATTTCCTTTTCCTGAATTCTCAAAATATTTTTATCTCGATAAAGAAAATTAACACAGGGTATAAATTTCATTATAAAATGTCGGAAGGTTTTTTCATCAAACAAGACTATCTTTAACTTGAGAAAGCATTTAAAGGTAATATCAGGGATGTGAACCCGGACCCTGAATCCTCAACCCGGACCCTTTTTAAAAGTGAAGGGTCCAAGGGTTCTAGGCGTCATAAAAAATTTTTAAAAAATAATATAAAAATATTTTTTTAAAAAATAATATAAAAATATTTTTTTAAAAAATAATATAAAAATATTTTTTTAAAAAATAATATAAAATGTTTTTTAAAAAATAATATAAAATGTTTTTTAAAATAATTTAAATTTTTTTAAAAAAATAATATAAAATTTTTTAAATTTTATAAATTTTTTTTCGTGGAATTATTTATTTTATATTCACGCTTTTCTTTCAATTTTCTTCCTGGACTTCCATTTTATTTAGAGATTGATATCAAAAATTATTTTCTAGTGTAGGTAATAATATTTTATTATGTAAATTTAATTAATAGATTTCCCCACAAATATATATTGGCATCAGATGCGCAGCCCATACTCTACGAGTGGCTATTAATGCATGCCTAAAATACAATCACTTAAAACTATCAACGATAAAGCAACGGATGTTGCAAAATATTTAAGAACTCCCACAATTGTAAAAATATTAAAATCAATGAAAAGGTCAATGGCAATATTAGACCGTACAACACATTGGTACTCAATTTGTATGATGCTAGAACGATTATTAAGTTTGAAAAATTTCTGTAATGATTTTATTATAGGAGCATGTGAAGTCATGTTTGCAAATGTTGAATTAAAGAAAAAAATAAAAATGTTTATTTATTTTCAAGAGATGTCAATCAGATTATTATTCTTTTAAATAATATGTTTTTATTGTAAAAGTAATAATTTATTCAGTTGGTGATTTTGAGATTTGATAAATATATTTATGATTTGGAATATGAATTATTTGATATCGAATTTTATGATTATACTATTGGAATTTATTAATTAAAAATAATGAGAATTTTATTGAAATAAAATTATATTTGTAGTATAATTGGAGAAATATAAAAATTTTGTCGGAAGATGATTGGTGCCAAATAAAGGACCTTACTGGTGTATTAGTTCCTATAAAAATAACAACATTAAAATTAAAATCAAAACAATTATGTTTATTTTTATGGCATATGGATTAGATGCTGATTAGATTTAGAAAGATTTACTAGTCCTTTTTAATACTAAATATTAGAAAACATGAAAATTTGACAGCAACAATATTTGCAAAATAGTGTTGTATACCTTATATATATTTACATCCTCTATATCAAGTTTTATTGAGTATCGAGCAAAAACAGATGGCTAAAGACCATCTTAAGGATTTATGCCATACGCAAAACTCCATTATTTACAATATATTGGAGGCTACGACAATAATACCTATTGGTTGTAGTGATAATAATGAGAAAAAAAAATAAAATTATCATCAGGTAGAAAGGAGAATCAAAAAATACCTATTTTATCTTTAATAGAAAAGTTCTCAGAAGTTAAAAGAATAAATAAGGATACAAATATTTCAAACATCTGGGAAGAAAATTCTTCAATATATCCAGAATTATATATCTTGTCTAGAATCGTCATAGCTGTACCGGCGACACAAGTACAATAATTTATGTATAAAAAGATAACTAACTATTTTAGGGAAGCGTAGAACGTCGATTTTCATCTTTAAAATATATATTGTCTAATTTAAGTGAAGATCTCAAAGATGATATTTTAGAAGATATTATGATTGTAGTTTTTATTTTAAATTTTTTATTTGTAAATTACGAATGTGTATATGAAGTATAATAATAAATTAATGAAAAATAAGTCTTATTTTGAGTCATTTTTTATAAATTTTATTACTGTAACCGAACCCGAACCTAGATCCTTTTTTTTGTTGAAGGGTTCATTTTCCTGAGTAATATATTAACCTATTTAATATCAATGTGCAGCCCAATCATTAATCTTTAAAATAAAATTTGAATCAAAGTTGTTTCTATAATAGTTTTCGAGATAGATGAGTTAATATGAAAGTTAATTTTCTGGCCCAGTCCACATGGTATGTTTCAGCTGGTCATAAGATATTATTCTAGAATTATATTATAAATCAAAAATTACAATAAATAATTAATCTTAAAATTTAATTTTATCATCAGACTCATCTATTTAATAATAATATTTTATAAATTATTATCTGGGTGTTAAACATGTTAAAATTAACCAATCATCTATTTATATATTTATTATCAAAATATGCTAAATATAACTTATTTCAATCCCATATTTTATGCAATTTTAAGAGAAATTGGTTCAATAGATAAAAACTAAAGGAAGATGGGCTGCCTGTTGACAATGGCCATCTACTTATCACCTATATAATTTTTACTCTTACTATTTCCATTATAATTTTAGACTGACCCTAGCCGGATCAAAAACACAATCTTCTATGAATGATTTTTATGAAATAATTAATACAATTGAAAATCTTTAGTCGCATTCTTTTTAATCTAAAAATACTCAAATGAATATTTTTGATGATTTTTCTTATATAAAAATATGTATATTAAATTTAATACTGCATTGCGTGTTAGTGTTTAACGATTCTTTAATCATAGCTTATACTTTCTGATAGTCGCTCTAGACTTGAAGATGACATTATGGAAATGTTATTAATTATTAAAATATAAATTTTTTTTATATATTTGAACTTAGTCATATTTTTTATTTGTAGAAATAGAGATATGTAAAAAATATTTTAAAAAAATTCCAAAGGAGCGTGAAAAGTAGCTCTTCTCTACTTTTTTAAAAGTAGCTAATATCGCGCTACTTTTTTATATCAAGCTACTTTTAAAAGTAGCTTTTAACAACACTGGATATAAATATTATATTTCTTGTTACACTTTTAAGTCGCTAAGCTTTCTATATCAAATTTTCTTATAAATATTTACAAGAATGAATTTGAGACTATGTATTAAGTGTTGTAAAGATATAAATATAAACTTGTAATTTACATTTTTTTAATTTAATTTATTTGATAAAGTGATTTATTTTAACAGATGTATTAATTTCGAAATAGCGGATTGATTTTATTTATTATATTAAAAAGAAATTGTAAAGATCACTTTATCCATTTTTAAACATTTTTTATATTTGAATTTATTTTAAAATGAATAAAAGAATAAAAAGAGTATCATAGTAAATCATTTAAAGAATATCGCCATCAGCGGTGATACTCCTAAATTTAGAATAAAATATCCCTCTTTTCTTCTATGGTTTTCTTATATTTTTTTTATATTACCAATATGAAACAAACAATATTTTTTTATATATATATTTGTTAGGGTGGACTCAATGTGTTGTCCTGGCGATATTTCATTTTTCTAACTTTAAATTATTTTTTTTCAGCGCGTTTTTAAAAATTTAAAAATCGGATTTTACCGGAAGTGTATTCCATCATGTTTAAAATACCTACCCTAAAAATTACAATTTTTTCATAAACTTTTAAACTTAATATAATTTATATAAAATTTTCCATGTATTTTTTATATAAATTATAAATAATTCAAAGGTTAATAGCAAAATTGTCTACAATCCATAAAATAGGTATTCCAATTATGATAGAATATATTTCCGGTAAAATCCGATTTTTAAATTTAAAAAAACGCACTCAAAAAATGATTTATAGTTGTAAAAAATAACACTTAACATGTATATTTATTAAATATTTTACTAAAATTATTGATTGTGTAAAAATTGGAAAGAAATCTTTATATGAATTGATTTGTATATTTTGAATTATCATAAACTTATCAAATCTATATATAAAATTTTTATAGGAAACAATTTTAAAATATCATATAATAATATCCAGATTAGACACAAATTACAAAAAAATATTTTTATTGATTTAAATTTTTTTTAACCAAGCAAAAGAATGTGTATATTAAAGATAACAAAATTGGTAATATCTAACAAAAAATTAAATTTGTTATAATTGCCAAAATTCGGATAAGTGTGAAAAAATAAATTTTTTCAGTCCCAACACTTCACAGTTATGGGGTTTTGATTATATAAAAATAATAAACACCAACTTGCGGATGAATATTATAGGATTATATATTTTAATTATTAATATTTTTAATATATTAATAGATTTAAACCATCTAATAGATTAAAAATATAATTACTAATTTATATTAATATATTAATGAGTATATCTGTTCATTCATAATGGGCTAACTCAAAAATATTTTATAAAATGTTGATTGGATATATCATATCTCATAAAATCTCGAAAGAAGATTTATAAGCTCATTTAAGATAAACCTTTAGAGGATGATTCCAAATGTTTAGTACATCGTCTTCGACTTCGCAATTTCTCATAATTATGACGGCTCCGTTATCTGGTTCAGTAGTGTTGCATGTTGCACACGAGTCTTCCGCCCTTAATTTCCCATCCTTGGCTAACGAAAACAACTATATAAAAATATATAATAAAAATACTATAGGGAATATATAAATAACACAAAATATTTATGAGAAAACTGCTCAGCTTTAAATGTTGCTAATGAGAGGAAAACACTAGCTAAGTATAATTTACGCCTACATTCTATATTCCATCTATTTCTTTCATTTCCTTTCCTTTGTTAATAATATTCTTTTAAAGTTTTACTTCTTCTGAACTACGAGACTGACAACTGAACATGCTCAATGTTTGAGATTTTTCTGTATTCTTCCCCAGCATGTCCAAGCAAATTTGGGTAGCTATGTTTTTAACCTTAAAATTAAAAATTATTTTTTATAAATTTTATGCTGACTTCAACATTTTAATATTAGTATAAATAAATTTATTTTTGATATTAAAATAATTTTATAATATTACAGTAAAATTAGTGATAAAAGCCTTTTAAGGATAAATCGTCAGTCAGTCAAGGTTATTTTTAATGTCATTGAGCGGGCCTAAAAATATGTACAACTGCATCTTAGAAAATATCTATCAACAGGATTAAAATATACTTTTATTTAAAAAAACAAATGAATTCAACCTTCCCATGAGCCAAAACATTTTCATCCGGCACAAATTTTTCTGGGTACACATTTTCCAAATACCATTTAAAGCTCTTACAGTTCAGTCTTTTTCTCAGCGCTATCCTATCCGAAACGTCCAAATCTTCGCTATCTACATCCTTAACAAATAATTTGAAAAAATTTGTATGGAGATAATAGTAAAGATTTTCACTCAATTATTTTCTTTCTTCTGTTTTATATAAAATCTTGAATAATTAAACATAATATATTCATTAATGTACATAATTAAGTCTAGTTAACCCAGCAGAGCAAAATTTTAATCAATTCATTTATTGACAACTTTAGGACAATGTTTAAGTAGGAGGTTTCTGATATTAACAAAAAAAATTTTAGGGGCCGTCAAAATTATATATTTGCCTTACGAACTATAATTATGATAAATAAATTCACTATTTGTATTTAATAATTTTATTACCAAATATTTATTTAAAATACAAACAAAAATCACAAGATTCAATTAAAAATATAAATATATTTGGGTAAGCGGAAAATAATTCCCGGAAAAAAAATCCACAATAATAATTATTAGAAAATAATTCATTCCCAGGAATTGATTTTCTCAAAATTTTTAAATATTTCATTTAAAGATTTTTATTTCGTAGATATATTTATAGGGAATTATTTCTCCTATTTAATTAATTTTGTAATTTTTAATATCTTTTTATTACAATATTTAATAATATGACTTTAACTGCTGAGAAATAAAATTGCAAATTATAGAAAATGTGTTTAAATATCGCAAAAAATATAAATTGCACAGGTTAAAAATGATTATATAAAAAATATTGCGTGTAAAAATTTATGAAATTAATGCAAAGATAAATCAAATGTAGTGGGTAAAAAGAAGAGAAATGTATTAAAAGGTATTTCATATAAAATAAAATATATAAATGATTAAATATATATAAATTAAATTTTCAAATTGAATTCTCATCGGGCATTCAACGGTAGTAATTTCTTCTAATACATTTAATAGGCCATTAATTCTTGATTCATAAACGTTTCCTAACTTCAATCTCTTGAAAAATAACATTTTATATGTGCTGATAGATAAAGATGTTAATATCAGAAACCAGTACAAAAAATTTTTTCGTTTATTTTTATATTCTAGATCTTGTATTAAAAAAAAATATTTAGTTATTTTAGATGGCCAGTCAATTTTGTTTTTTATAATGACAATTAATTATATGGGCAATTTTTTAAATAAGAAATGTAATTTTAATTATTCTAGTCAGCCTTTAATTTAAGTGGGCAGTATGTTTAAAATTTTTGGCAGGTTTTTGATTAATTTTCAAGTTTGTTATTGATTTGGGCAGTATTTAAAATAATTTAGTATTAAAAATTTTAACAAATTAATAATTAATTTTCAAGTTTTTTATTGATTGTTTTTGATAAGTTTCTAATATTCTCGAAGTTGTGGATTTTTAGAATTTAAAATAATGGCAATGTTTGACTAAACTTCTGAAAAGAATAAGGACACTAACGATAAAGCGCGAGGTTCGAGTCAGTAAAAATATATTTTATTAACCAATTTCTTTTTCTTTTCTTAAAGTATATATACATTTTCTATAAATATAAATTAGAATACAAACGAAAAACAAAAAGTAAATATATTATAAAATATAAAAAGTAAGGTTACGCCGAAAGTTATAAAAACAAGGTTACGCAAATAAGTTATAAAATCAAATTACAAAAAATAATAAAAATAAGATTACAAAAAATAATAATATGATTAAGGAAATTAGAATAACGCAACAACTTCAAATCAGCAAATATCTGAATAAACTGCTTCTCCAGGTAAAAATTATTATTTTATACACTTTATTAATTAAATTCTGACATGTTTTTTTATAATATAAACAAGTCTTTAAAAATAAATTATTGGATACATTTAATATGTAATAAAGTAATAATTATATTTCATTGAATTTCATAATAAGTTTTTTAAATGTTTTAAATTTTTTAACGAAATGATATTCAAAATAATTAGAATAAGAAATCGATAATACTTATTTTACAAGGTGGCATATATTATTTTAAAGAAATTGGATTTTAAAATTATTTTTTGGACTAGGTTGGAGTTACGCTTAAAAGAGTCATAAGATATGGGATAGGACAGCTCATGGAGGTGTTGGGTAGGGGATAAGGCTTGTATTTTAAAATTAAAAAAAAATTGATACGATTATATATCAAAGAAAAGCTAATTTAAATATTAGAATGTAATACTATTCATAAATCTTGATACCCCCTCCCAAGGCCCAGGCCATCATCATATCTAATTTTGATGTTATAAAAATTTCAAAAATGTAATCAATCCTGATCTCTTAAAACTAGATCCCTTAGAGTGGTGATTAAAAGAAATTCCCTATAGATTTAATTTGATACCTATCTCATATCTATGTATTATATAAATTAAAAACAATAATGACCTAGACTCGCCCATTCAGAAGAGGCAATATTGGAGTCAAGTTAATTTAAATTAATTAGGTAATTATAAAAAAAATCAATTTTGTTATTTATTATCCCTTCTTTGTGATTGTGACCATTATATCAATTTTACTTAGTAAAATATCTGATGGGTACTACCTATAAGGAATAAAAAACAAGTTAATTTCTTATTTTTATTATATAATTTTTGGATTTAAATATTAAAATAGAAGACGTGAAAAAACATTTAGTTATATAACTGGTAAAATTTAAAATGCAAAAGCTTTCCCTAACGTGTCACATAAAAAAAATAATATACATTTCCCAATTGAGGAAATGTCCAAATTTAGTCAAAGGTTCAATTGTTAAATATAATTTATAGATTTAATTTTTAAAATATTAAATACTTTTAGATGAAAGTTGAACTAACCTTCAAATCTAGTCGGTGAATATAGAATAGTCTCACGTACTCATCCATCCACACCTTGGCTAACCTGATAGAATTTTTGCCGTGGGTATCGTTCAGGTGTTCGGGCCAGACAAATGGATGTGCTGAACGGTATATATGCCCAACTCTGGAACAAGGTAGGAATTCCAAAGAACCACCACATTGCCATACCTTTTAATTTTTTAAATTGAATGTAAGAATTAATTTCTTTGAATTTTGATAAAAATTAAGAAAAATTTTGGTTGTAAACTTTTAAGATATCGATGATAACCAACAGCGATGGTAAAAATATCTCATGAAAAAAATATAATAGATAAAGTAATAATATCCCGAACTTGATCGAGATATATCCTAACCATAAAAAGTCTTATCACATATTTAGTAGATAAAATCAAGCAGAATTCAAATAGAACAAGTTAAAGCATTCTATAAAAATGATTCATATTTATTTAAATGGCAGGTGTTTCTCAGGAGCATATTTATGTAATTGCTAAAAATTGGCTAATTCGGCTTAATCTACAAATGCGTGCCAAGGTAAATTAGGTTGGTATTAGGACAAGAATTAATTTTCTTTCTATGAAGTTAAGCTATATTAAAAAAAAACACCGTGACTGAGGTAATAATTTTCAGTTAAAACTAATTTAGCCATTATTCAGCTGGCTAAATTATAGGTCAGGAATAGAGCAAATACCATATTTACTTTAGGTCACCAATAGGTGACTTAGTCAGTATCTAAACATTCCCGGAAAGAACCTCAACGATCAAACATCAAAGTAAAAAATCTTTAAACGTTTACTTTTACATCGGGATTATTGTAACATTAAAAAAATCTTAAACATTCCCAAAATTCTTTACTGCTTCAGATCATAGGGGACATTCTTATTTCCAAAAATTCCTCAGAATTGCGAATTAAAATTAAATCCATATTGGAGGATATTTTTAGACTAAAGTTTTGTCAGAATACATGGGTACTAATCACCAAATCCGGTAGACTTCGTCTACGCACCCATTTACCCTTATCAAACGTATTATTTACAGCATTTTCCATTAGTAAATGGACTCATTTTTAATCTAATCTAACCAACCGAGGATTAGTTATTTTTTTTGCATTTTTTAATTAGTCAGTAAATGTAACAGAGAGAACAAATTATATTATCCAACACATTTCACAAAAGGATTGGGATGCTCCTTTGGTATCGCGCTGCGTTGATGATACACTTCCGAACAACAATACATAGCAGCGCTTGCAAACCTATATTCATTAGTTATGGACAAGACTTGTTATGATTGACTAGGTGCCTATCTAGGTAAAGCAATAAGATCACTTTTGTCAGACGCCAAATTTGGATACGCAGTGACAATCAGGCTAAGGGCGGAAATATCTCAATCCATTAAACTTTAAAGATGCAGGGAACAATAACCAAAAAGAGTCTCCATGTATTTTTAATAGATATAAATACATATGACATGAAATAATTAAAATTATTTAGAAATCACTATACGGAGCAAATATTCCAACACATTTCAAACCGTGTAATTTTTAAATCTTGAAACATACACTAATCCCATGGTACAAAGGAAAACATATGTATTTGGACTTTACCTGTATCGATATTTTTGCCTCTCTCATAACAATTACGATCCACGAGAACTTAAAATTAAATTAAAAAACGATAGATAAAAGGCTAGATGAAGCCATAAATTGATAAGAAATTTAACCGGCAAATTTCTAAGCCAATATTCAGGAGAATACAGAAATATTCTTTAGAAATTGCTTATGAGATTGGTAATTTTTCTTCCTATCTCCTTCAGGAAAGAAATTGATTAGTTAAATATCCTTCTGGTTTAATATTTCTTTTTTATTTTAAATTCCTAATTATATATAAATTACAAAAATTCGCAGAAAAATACTCAATATTTTTAAACGCAATACCTATGAATTAGAGAAGATAAACAAACTAGTTCAAATGCAATTTGTATAATATACGATATAAAATTTGATATCAGTATGGAGGAGTCAATGATGTTATAAAACATTCAACAAGACTTAAAAACGTTCATTTATGCATAATAATTCAATATCCGAAGCACCATTCATCTTTCAAACGATTAAATCATCGATTAGTTATTTATCTACAGATAGCACTGAAAACTTATCCATTCTCTTTTCTGATTCAAAAATAGCCCAAAAAATAAAATGTAGAAGAATAAAAGCTTCAAAAATAGTTTTGAATATTATAAGTCTGCGACTAAGAGACACATTTTAAGGATTTGAAGGAAAATATTTTATTTTCATTATTAATGATGACTAAAATAATGGATATACCAAAATATTCCCAATAATACCATTATTTTAATAAAGAAGCACGAGGTTCAAGTAAAGTTCAAAAAATATTTTATAGCACAGAAATCGAAGGATATTTAATTTATGCGTGTGCAGAACCTTGATAAAAATTAACAATTTATTTTTTGGTATAAAATCTTCTAAACTATTATGAATAAGAATTATTTTTATATTGTTTTACAATATTTTTTTTGCATATTTCTTATGTAAAGGCTTAACAAAATAATTTTTAGAATTAAATTTTCCCACTTTTTGTTTGAATGAATCTAGCAAGTTATCATGCATAAAGAATAATTTTATTCAAATTTGCCGGACTCCATATTAAAAACCCTTTCAAGGTGTGCTAGTGGTATATAAAGATTTTTTAGCTGGATTGGAAAAGTGTGGATATTTGTTTTCCCTTAAATTTAATCTATACCTGGTATGACGTTTTCTGCTAAGAAATGGATTCTCACAATTCTTTTGTAGTAGAGCCATAATGTTTGTTGGTCATTGAATTGGCTTTTATTTTTCACATTCACTAATTAAATATCATCATTCCCTAGAAGTATAAGATGTTTTTATAACAAATTCAGTCGACGTAGAGGGTTCTGTCATATACTTTGATGTATCGGGGTAGGGTTGTTAAAAAACCCGATTCGGGTCTATTTTTAGAAACGACCCGATCAAGATTTTAGCCAAAATAATATCATATAAGCCTCAAGTTATTGGTTTGAAAGTTTAAGATGTTTCTAATTCTTTTAAAACATTGAACTGATTTTTATTAGCTTCGGAAATACTTTTAAACATAATTAATGTACATTAATTTAATGTCTTCGTTTAAGTTTATTATCATTAGCATCTTGTTAAACGATTATCAACCTCTGCTGTTTTATATCTTGGATAATTTCTATTATTCTCATGCCTATTCAATAAAACTTTACTTTTTGAATACTTTTACTATGATGACAAATGTGTTGGAATAAAAATGAATAAAATTATTCGCTTTTTAATATATTTTATGGTAAAAATGTATATTACCCTGAATGACATCTCTAGATTTTCGCCACCCCATATTTCCATTCCAGGATCATAAGCCCCAATTTCCCAAAAATAATTTCTATTCAACGCTAAAAGGCCGCCTGCCATCGTTGGTGAACTATTTTTTCGATAAAAAGAAATATATTTTTATAGCAGTGAATTTGGAGTGATCAAACTTTCGTTTATATATTTGCAAATATAAATCGAAATAATATGTCTCTATTAGGGATCTCTTATTTAGAGCCGAATTATATTTATAATGATATAAAAATGTTGGCTAAAGTAGGTTATTAAATATTCGGAGTAGAGGTGAGCTCGGGCGTGAAATTACTCGTGTCACGATGGGTCACGGTGGGTCATCGCGTGAGTGTGAATATTAGACGTGACTGGGCATGGGTTTTCCCATTGCGGTGCGTGATTGGGCGTGAACATAAACTCCCCGTTAATCATGGAAATTTTAATTTTCAAAATTGTTTTTTTATAATATAAGTTTGCAATTATATAATTATAATATATATTTTCTAATTTAATTTAGTTCTTTTTGAAAAAAGAATAATTTTTAAAAACAAAACAAACTTCCACATTTTATAAACAACATTTTTTCTCGATAAAATTTTAAATGAAAAAGAATATTTCTCCCAACTCTCGTTCAGCAATAGAAATTTAGGAAAGAATAAATTTAATTTAAATATTTTATTTTGATTTATCTTTATTATATATTTACTATTTGCACTCAAATTATAATCATTTAAAATTTATAGGAAGATTAAACATTTTAATAACTTATTTTTTTAATTTTCTCATATTTACCTACAATCTAAAATACTTAATTATAATAATTATTAATTGTTTAATATATGTATAAATGACAATAATTTTTCCTTTACATTTAGATTTACAAGTATTTAAAAAAAAATATGTACATTTAAATTTTAATTTGTCTTTTCTCTAAAACTTTTGGGTATTAATTTTGAAGCTTTTCCATTGCCTCTCAATTGTTTGAGTATATATTAAAGGTCTGACTCTGACTTTAATACAAAATTTTTTGAATGATTTACCACATAATTATCATAATAAATATACTTAGTACACTGATTGTAGAGTCTTATGCACACACTTATTTATCAATATTCCAGAAGGCTCGGTAATCTGAGCGCAGATTCTCTAAATGATTTTTATCTATGGAAATAAATATTAGTAAAATTTCGTCAACCTTCTGAAGGTGATATAATAAAAATCAAAACCCTAAACATTTCTCAATTAAAGGAAAGATTTATTATGCAGCCACTACAAAGGTAGGCTTAATTCTAGATCCGAATTTCAAAAGTCTTAGGTGTTTAATTGACTATATAAAATAACATTATAATGCTAAATGTTATAAAATTAAATGATATGCATAAGTCATTGCCAACTATCATTTACAACTTTTCTAATTCATCCTACACACATAAAAACAGTATATTCTAAATGAATTATTTAGAGAATTTCTAGATGATTCTGATGATGCATCAACATCTAAAGATGAAAGTAGATTAATCGCTCATAAAACAAATAACAATTGCAATATTTTGAAGTTTTGGAAGCTGGAAAATTCATTTCCTTTTTTGAGAAAATTAATTAGTAAAATTTTGTCAGCCCCGACAAGTTTCCTTCTAGTGAAAGGATCTTCTATAGCCAATCGCTTATTAGGGGAAAGGCTAACACAATTGGAATAAAAAGCATTTCTTCTTTTTCTAAATAAAAATTTTGATTTATAAATTGTTATTATTTTGTTGTATTAATATGGAATTAGAGAAATAAAAACTTATGATAGAACAAATTCAAAAAAGGTAAAGGTATGGTAATAAAGTTTTGAGAAATTTTAAAATGCCGTAAATTTTCGGGCCTGACGGGAGTGATCAAAATATTGCCTTAGCGGGTGGGTCAGGTCAAAATTTTTTTATTAGTAAGCGTGAAAAGGCGTAAAATTACGGGCGGGCCGTAAAAAATTAGGACGGCGCCCACCTTTAATTCGCAGTATATTATATTTGGCTTGTTTTAAAAAAATATTATAAACATTACGTGTAAGAGTCAGATATTACATAATTAAACATTCCACATTCGATAAGCGATATAATAAAAAATAGCAATTAAAAAATACAAGAAAAAGAAGAAGAAAAGCAAAAAACGAAATGTAAATAAGAGATAAGCGAGACTTAATAGGTTGAGCCGGAGATTTTATAGAAAGTTGGACGCGTGGCGAAACTGGTATCCAATTGAAATCGAGGCTCCAAGTGAACCCACCTACGTTAAATCCTGGATCTGTGGAATATTCTAGGGTTTCATCATCGATGGTGTCTATGAAAGGACATAATACTGCGTTCCTTTTGTCTTTTATCCTTTGCAATAAAGGTTCGATCCTTTTGAATTATAAAAAATAAAATAAAACGTTTTTTGCTCTTCAACTTTAAATCCAATAAAGCTCTATTGTCACTAAATTTCAATTTAAAAAAAAAATTAATATATAATAAAATAATGCATTGACAGACGTGTAGAGGAGCATAAAATCAGTTTTAATTAAATGAATAGCCTGAAAAGGCATCTGCAGAACAATACCCCTATTGAACCATATAAATTGCAATCCATAAATGACCCATAATTAACTAAAAATAAATAAATTTTTTAAAAACAATTGAATTTTGTGTAGAAATATAAAAAAAAGTCCTGTTTCTCACCATCCAACGTTGACTTCACAATGGGCATCTAGGAAGATGAGTATATCTCCTGTTGACTTTCTAGCGCCCTCAATTTTGGCCTTGATTAAGCCTATCCTTTTTTCACTCCTATACATTTTAACCAGTTTTGACCCGAAATAATCGTTCACATAGTCGTTCAAGGGTTCCTTCAATTCAACTATGTTTTTATTATAATTATTTAGTTAGTATATATAGTTGAAGGCAATATATTGGAAATGATTCAATGTTTATTGCCTTTATATAATTAAAAAATGGCTCAAACGCTCATCGTTCGTTCGTTTGTTCTCTATTTCCTCTCTTTCCTTCTTTCTTTTTTTTCAGCCCGAGCTGGCCTCATAAAATTTTACGAAACTCAGAGATTTTAAATACTCTGCCTAACTTTTATATAAATTGTCATGCCCGACCCAAAATATTTTTATCTAATTGCAACGGCCTGTAATTTTTTTGTGCATGACACTTAACCGGCCTAGTTCGGTAACGACTTTCTCAGTCCAGCTAGATATAATTTTTTGTCCAGTCTATTTTAAGTTTTTTTTAAAAAATTCTCGGCCTCAGGGAAAGGTTTTGCAAATCTCTAATAGGAACATCTTTATATTTTTTTGATCTGAAACATTTTCCATATAATACTTTAATTTTTTCTCCTTTGTTGACTGATGTTTTTTAAAACATTATTAGCTGACGACATTATTTATATATTTATTTTTAGGAAAATTATATTAATTCCATTTTGCTAGAGAAAAATGAGTAAAAATGCCTAAAAATTGAGCAGAAGCGTTTAATGATGTGTTTTTCCTAAAAAAACACTGTTATTAAAATTGAACTGACATTAAAATTGATCATCCAATACAAAAACTAAAACAATTATAGATTGGAAATCAAATGAATTATTTCTATAATTTCCTATTCCTCTCTTTTTTCAGATATAATTATACAACACCGTTTAGATTCTTGCAGTTCCAACAAAGCAAGTAATTTAGAGAAATAAGATATTTAAAAAAATGAGAATCCCTTTTATTATTTACACGAAAAATCTTTTGAAAAAATTACCTGGAAAATTTTATGAAAAAATTCAGAAAATTAATTAAAAAATTTACTTAGCAAAATCTTTTATGATTTTTAAAGATAATCTGAGAAAATCAATAAAATATTTTAATCTTGATAAGTACGAAAAAAATGTTTTTCAGAATATTTGTTAAAATTTACTTTTATTTGCATAAAGCGCATTTTTTAAATTTATGTTTGAGGGAGAGGGGATGGGATTCAATGGGGTAACCCAAATGCTCCCTACATATTTAACCATGAGTAAGAGATAACCGAAAAAAATTGCTAATTTATTATCACATCAGATAAATGTTTCATGCTTATTTAATAGACAATAAGTAAAAAAAGATTCCTAAAAACTTTGCGTTTATGATTTCAAAAACTTATCTGGTTAAATGATTATAATATGTATTTTCTTTTTAATAGTTCGCAATATATTTATAGTTTGGATTAGAGGTCTGCATTGGATGGGCGGGCGGATGGGCGGGTGAAAAAAGTTTCAAGAATGGGCAGGCAGGCGGGTTAAAAAAATTTAAACACTATTTAAAATAGCCTATACTTTGAAGGTTCAGAACCGGGTTAGGTATTTGACCGATCAAATACGTTGCTCAATTTACCTTGGGCGGGCTGGGCGGGCAGGTTAAGAAATTTAAACAATGGGCAGGCGGGTTAAGGAAATTTAAAATTTTTGTTCAAAAACAAACTAAAAAAAATAATTGTTTAAATGATCTATAACAATATTTCTTTTTTTATTGTACCAATCGTTTTTTTTAGTGAAGAACATTTACCTAACTACAATAAGACTTTTTTCTTAGAATAAATAAACAATTTTGTCTATTAAAAATTTCCTTTTATGGGAATGTAATAAAACTTTTCTAGTGCTTCTTCCGAACGCGGATTTAGCATTGCTGGAAGATTTTTAGAACAAAGAAGAACGTGTTTGAATCCAGAAAATGTCGATTCATTATTATTTTCGCATCATAATTTCATATAATATTAATTTTACATTTATATTTTTTTATAAATATTTAATTTGATCAAATAAATTGTCCATAATTTACATTGATTATTTTTATACTTATATTAATTTCCTAAATTATAAACTTTTTGTAGAGGTATAAAGCTGAAATATTTTTATTTGATGCTTAAAAAAATGAAAGAATGACCATAATTAAATTTTATAAAGACTAATGGGCGGGCGGGTAAGGAATTTTAGACAAATGGGCGGGGTGGGCGGGTATATATTTTTTTGAAAACTATGGGCAGGCGGGTTAAATTTTTTTTAAAACATTGGATGGGCTGGCTTTTGGTCCAAAAACCCACCTAATGCAGACCTCTAGTTTGGATGCGCTAGCGATAATAACTTCGTGTAAATATATTCGCGATAAAAAATTCACCATAAAGGGTTCACGATAAAAAGCTTCACTAAAATGGGTTCGCGATAAAATTTTCCCTAAAATGTATTCACTCTATAGTATCTTGGTTTAGGTTTTGTTGAAATAAATATGCGATTATTGTCTTTGCTAAAAATGTTATGCGGAAAAAAAAGTCGCGAAATCGGTTTCACAATATTACCTTCGCTCTAAAATTCCTTCGATAAACAACATTCGCGACAAACAATATTCGCGACAAATATTTCACGATAAAATTTTGCTGAATTGACCTTATACGATTGAAAAAGGGAAGAAAAAAGTAAAAATGATATAAAAAAAAATAGAGAATCGGAAAAAGATGACACTCTTTTCATAAGCTTTTCCCCTTACCGTGGCTTATACTTTCCTTTCTTTTTTCCTATTTCAAATTTTTTTTTCTTTTAGCTTTTGATCATTATAGAAATTTTAATCAATTGATTAGAATTATATCATATTCTCAAAATATTATTTACACTCTTTTTTTAAATAGAAATTATAATTAATTTTTATATAAATGAATCGTATTATTTTATTATAAATATTAGAGACCTGCAGAGGTACCATTTGCACGGCCGCACGATATTTTTAAAAAAAATATTTCCGCCCGGCCCGGGCTTTATATTCCCGGGCTTGAAAATAGGTCGGGCTTGAAAATAGGTCGGGCCGAAAATTTGATAAAAATCCAGGCTGGGCCATTCAAATGTTACTTCTGCAGGTCTTCGAAATATATTATTTTTTAAAAGAATATTATAAATAACGATTAGTGATGATAAATCGCTTCATTTGAACCGATTTTTAAAAACGATGAACTCAATATTTTAGCCAGAAAAATATTGCCTAATCATCGAGATTTAGCTAATAGATTTCCAAACCTTTGTGCCATCTATGAGCAAAATATTCAGGCTTGCATAATACTTTTCAGGTTGAAATACTAAATTCGTTGTTTATAGAAATCGGCCCAAATGGAGCGATTTTGCAACAAAAACGATATCCCTTTTTGGAATGTGAATTTTTTTTGAATGAATCTTTCCTTTTCTTGTGGGACTTTTTCTTTTTTGACTTTCCCTGTCTTTGGTACTTTTTCTCTTTCGTCATACCTTTTCCTTTTTTGCTTTTTCCTTTAAATGGGATACCCTTTAATTGATTTTCATTTGATTCGCCAAAGTTTTTTGTTGTAAAAACTTTAAAAAAAATCCTGACTAATCAAAAATCTATATCCATGACTTAAAACAATGATTAGTATTGTAATCAATATTATAGATTATTTTTCATTTGAAACGCAAATCTATTTATTTTTTTTGAATAAAAATTTTTAAAAACAATGGACATAGACATAAACGCTCCCAATTAGAGTGATGATTAACATTAAATTTAAAAGATATTTCGATAAGCTTTCATTCAAAACCCATTTTGATTTTTCTGATAAAATTTTGTATCCTAACCCTAATCCCTCCCCCCAAACCTTACTTCTAAGATCTAGTTCCTCTCACTTAGCGTAATGATCAAAAGTTATTCTAATTATCCCAGATAGTTTTATTTCTTTAAAAATTACGACATATATAAAGATACAATATATAATTCAGTATTGGCATATCTAAGATTCGGAACTCGCACGAAAAGGTTGAGAACGCCGCCTCTATAGACCTAACGTAGATTGCCATTACCTTTGTCTAATAATAGTGGCCATAGAAATCTACATCACGCTTATTTAGGCGCTAATGACTAGACTAAAAATAAAATGATAGTTAAACAATTCAATACACTTACACTTGAGGTGAAAGTTTAGCTTCCCAATTCAAACAAATCAATGAGACGAAATATTTGATTTGAGCTAGAGTTTGGAGCAGCCTGGATGGGCAAAAAGCCCAAACCCATGAGCCAATTAGATTTTTGAGCTGGACCCGACAATTGTGAAAAATAATTTTATGGGACGGGCCGAATTTTTGAATATTTTTAAAGTAGTTAATTAGGCAAATGTATGTCGTTTTCCTTCATAAAATTTTATTATGAGCCTGGACAGCAGGCAACTCGTACAAAATATATTTTACGGGTACTGCTGGTTAAAAATAATTATAAGCCCTGCCAAAAACCAAATAAAAAATTTCCACTGATATGAACTTTGTTTACAAGAGATATCAGTGGCGTAGCTAGGAATTTTCCTTAGAGGGGGTCCATACATATAAAAGCTGGGGGCTTCGCCCCCAGACCCCCTTTAACGGGCCCTCGCCCTTTTGCCCGGCCTTAGGCAGGGTTTATCTTACAAATCATAACCATATCTTCGATAATAGATAATAAATATATTTTTTAAATGCATCAATAATATGTTATTATAATTTAGTAGATTATTCTCAATGACTTTATAATAATACTATCCAGAATAATTTCAATAGTAATATAATGTCCTTCCACAAACATCAAAACCAGAAAAATATAATTCATTAAAATCACTTTTAAGTCTTTTGAACGTATAATCTAAAAAAAATTTTTGCTCTGGGAGGGGTCCATACCCGAAAACCACCACCCCCGTAGCTACGCCACTGAGAGATATCATTGTACTAATGTTTTATTGTTGAGAATAAACAGTTATATTTTTTTTAAAGTTGATTTCACGAAAATCGAGCCGGTATAATTTTGGGTCATAAACATCTTGAATCTATTATTAGAGTCCTTGAAACAGACAGCAAAGGCTTGAAAAGCAATAGTATTAAAATGGCAAGCCTAGAGAAGAATTTTACACCATACTAACCTTTTAACAAATGATAAATAATAACTACAACAGTGCTATTAAATCACTTAACTCAAACCAACTACAAAACGGTTTATCCAAGGTTTAAAAGCTCATTTAATTTTTGCCAAAATCCACTAAGTTTTACCCATTTATTCCTTTGTTCAGTGCTTTTAATAAATCTTGAATTTTTTTTTTAATATAAAAAACCTTTGTCACTGAAATCATCGAATAAAATAATTTCATGAAGATATTTTGAAGGTGATCTGTTCTTTATGCTCCACATCATTCGAAGAATAGCCGTTAAAGCTTCGTTATTAAAAATTAATATTACGCTGGCAGAAGGTAGATCAAGGTCATACGCTATAAGATGACATCTAAATTATTTTTTAAAAATTGTTTAAAGGTTGTGAAAACATTTTTAAAAAAAATCTAAAGTTGCCTCGGACATTTTATTCTTTAGAAAGTTATAAATATTATTAAAAATAATCATCGATTTTATTTATTTTTACTCTTTCGGTCGATTATCTGGAATACTCCTGTTCAAAGCTATCTGATTGCTTAGTAAAACGTTGAAGGATTCCTTCTTTTTAATCTTTTTAGCTAAACGAATTTCATCTAAGTCAGTGAGCATAGCAGCCTTACCCATCGCGCCTAGAGCGCTTACTTTACCGGCATTTTTTATGTAAGGATAATAGGATTTGCTTTCAATCCAGTTTCTGTTCCTTCTTTTTGAAGTCCATCTAATGTCCACAACATTGTAAATGGTTAAGGCTAAGCAAAAAACTGCGAAATATTTAACCATCCGGCTAACCGTAGAGCGATATGGGTAACGGAATTTTCGAGTCAGTATCATTTTTCCCTTAAAAAAATAAAAATATTCACGAAAATATTTTTTCAAATACCGATATCATCATATTTTGAATAATGCTGTCCTGTGTTTCAGGAGAGAGAATTTAAATTTCAAGGGCTTTCTAAAATTCTCTATAACGGAACTTTATATTTTGCTTTGACAAATAATATATCATATATATGTAATATATGGTGAAATAAAATAAAATTTTTGATTTAAATTATAAATTAAATACACTAAGATATTGTGGGATGTTTTTTTTAGTTCTCTAAAGTAATTAAAAAATGATAATTTGGTTTCAATTTCAATATTTTATGTTACTAATTTAAATCGAAGGTAATGAAAAGAAAACTACATTTTATTTAATAATCTTTAAATTAATTTTTATGACTTAATAACCTCATTTAAATTATTTTTCATTTCCTCCTCATACACTTTCTAACAGGAAATTAATGAGATTCATAAAAATAATTTGTACGTTTGTTCAGTTTTTGTTAAAAAATAAAATTTATTACTTTACCCTGCGCCTTGGCTAAAATGGCAGTTCTGAGTAAAAATGTAAGAAGCTTTTTAACCATAGGGAAGACCGGAGTTCTTATAAGTTTGAGCTTCATGTGGGCATTGGGGCTTTCTTCTGGACTATTCAACTCTAATTGTTAATTTTTTAATCATGCGGCTATAAATTTTTTTTATATAGGATCATATATATAATTATTATAACACAATATATGATTTATACCCTCAAAATCAAAACTAACTTTTTTAAATGTTGCAATTAATCAAAAAATAAAAAATAATAAAGGTAAATTATCGAATAACTATCTTATATAAAAAAATCTCTACTCAAAATAAAATTATTCTTTATTTAAATAAAAAATATGATGTTTCTTGGTCAATTTTAAGCTAGGTTCACAAAATATATAAACTTACATTATTGTTTTTTCCTATTTTCCTCAAAATGAGTTTACCGAAGATCTCCCACATAACTGGCTATATTATTAAGAGGGAATCTTCATAGTTAATAACATGGTGTTTTAATTCGTTTTTTGAGCCCATTAAAATTTAATATTTAAATGAATTATTGGAAAGAAAAAAGAATATATATATGATATACAGATAGAAAAATATCAGTAGCAGTAGCCAGAGGGGGGAGGGGGTAGTTGTTTATATTTTCATATAAATTCATCTTATTTTGGTATCACATTTTCAAAGATGCTTAAAGTGTATTTATATTTCGTTTGTTCGATACTTTATTATAATTGTATGTGCTTCTATATTTTTCGTTCTATATTATATCTTGATGCCAATTTTAGAGCTTTTCTTATTTTGCTAATGACTTTTTATTCACACTGATCATAAAATGGATTGAAGGACTAAACTAAAATGTGTGCTAAAAAAGTAATACATATTGGCTTCAGTTTCAGAATTTTCTCATATGCTAAAAAAGTAATACATATTGGCTTCAGTTTCAGATTTTCCTCAAAATATAATGAGATTACAACAATTTTACTTCTATATCTATTAAACAAAACAAAAGAACAAATAATCAAAATATTATGAATTGGGGAAAAATAAACCTTAATGTTTTTAGGCGTAATTAATTTTTGAATAGCAATTTAAAATCATATATTTAAGACTCAGCCAAGAGGTGCCGTTATAGATTGTTTTTTTTGGCTTATAACTTGTTTATGTTATTGACTGGATAAACTGATTGATGAATTAGTGAGTAAAAATCAGAGTTGTTATTAGCTACTTTTAAAAGTAGCGCGCTACCGCTATCGCTATTTGTCAAAAAAATTGGCGCGCTACCGCTATCGCTATTTGTAAAAAAAAGTAGCTCGCTATTAGCTACTATTTTAAAAAAGTAGTTTTAGCTACTTTTAGGCTACTTTTTATAAAAAAAATTTAGAAACAATTTTATTTTTATTTTGCATATAATGTAATTGTATAGTAAATCTAAATAATATCTAAATAATATCTAAAAATCAACATTTATAAATATTAAAATATAGTTAATTTTGATTATAAAAAAATTTATGTAATAAATTTTAAATATTTATGATAATTTGTTGAATTTTAATAATAAAATCATTTCAATATTATCATCCCCAAGTCTAGAGCGACGATCAGAAAGTATCAGTTTTGCCTTACTAAATAATCTCTCGACACTAGCACTTGAGGGCAAGAGATTATTTAATCTTATATACATTGTTGTGCCCAACTATAAGCCGGTACATATATGAGATATCTCTGATAATTCTACTATTAAAGCATCTTTCATCACTTTAAACTTATTTGCTATTTTATTCACAAGTGTCTGGCGACATAAAATAGTTGTATCAGGTGATAAAGTTTTAATCATCATAGTAAATGATGGATTATCAACCAAGGACATTGGCTGAACTGTATCATTTATAAAATCCACAATAAATTTCTGAGAAATATTGGCATTTGTATTATTAATTAATTTGTTTGAATGGAATTAGTCTTTTTGGATATAGATTCACCTATGCCAAAGTTATTTAAATGTTGTTCAATTTCCTTAAAACTATTAGCATGAACAATCTTTTAAAATAAATATTATTATTTTATGTAAAAATGATAATTTACCTTTAGGTGTTTCTTGAGGTTATAGCTACTGGATTGATTTGAGGAAATATTTTTTTTACATTTTAAACATATAAATTTGAAGCCAGTTTTTGTTTTAATATTTATCTTGAAAAATTTTTGAAATCTAGGGAATGGGAAAGTATTGCTATGAATATTATTTTTTTCCCTGGTATCTTCCATCATTAATAACATTGTCTGACTCTGAATCACTTTCAACGATTTGGATATCCATATGCGATGCCATTTTAAATTATCAACAGGTGATTTAGGTTTATAATACAAATTGAAAATATATTTCAATTTCAAAATTAAATAATAAATCATAAAAAAATTATAATTTAATTATGATATTATATTTAAATTTTCGTGCTTATATTTACATTCATTATATTTTTTAAAAGTAGCGCACTAAAAAATTAAATAATTTTAAAAAAGTAGCCGCTATTAGCTATAGCTACCAAAAAAAATAGCGCTCTAAGTAGCGCGCTACTTTAACAACTCTGGTAAAAATACTAATTAGGCATTACATATTGGCGCAATTAGATATTCAATACTTCTATAATTTTCGTTCTAACGTGTATTTTTTTTTATTTTGACACTAATGTGTTTCTTAAACTATCTGCAAATCGGATTGAAGAACTAAAATGTTCTAAATGCACACTAAGAATATAAATTTCAGAGTCAATGCTTTAAGAAGAATAACTACATGCTTAAGGGGTGATATTTTAGTTTTTTAGCTTATAATTTGATTACTTTTTTTGAGGTTGATTAGGGACTTACTAAATATTAAAGCAAACTATATATTTTCAACTTCTATATTTTCCGTTTTGGAATGATGACAATGGAAGTTTTCTTCTTATTCTACCAAATTAATTTCCCCTTTAAACCATTACCAGACATATTAAAGAAATAAAATGCACAAATTGCACTACTTAATGGTTTAGTTTAAGTTTCAGAACCTTTAGTATTTTGAAAATTAATTTTATGGTTTATGTTAACAGTAATTATTTAAATTATAAACTATTATATAAATTAGATTTTAGTTAAAAAATACAAGTATAATCTATCTTTCCCTTACTTAATCAATAATCATAAGTAGTTATCTGCATCGGGCCTAATTTCGAATTTTTTTTAAAAAAGTTTTGCCGGCCCGGCCCGAATCCAAAATTTTATTTAAGAAAATTTACGGGCCCGGCTCGAACTTGTTTAAATATATAAATTAATTTTTAAAATTACTCAAAATAAAAGACATATGTTATATGGCGTCTAGTTCTATAATAAATAAAATAAAATATTTATATTTTACATCAAAAATTCAATATAAAATTGATAGATTTAATATATATTTTAAAAAAAATTTCAGGCCCGACCCGACTCAGCTCTAATTTTATTTTAAAATATTAGGGCTGAAGCCCGTTCGGGCCGGGCTGGACTCGGGCTGGGCCTACTTTTGCAGATCTCTAATCAAAAGTATCTGGAAATCTGAATGAATGTCAATCCATTCAAAATTTAATAACGCTTTTCAAACCCCAATATTTAATTCTGTAAAAGAAAAAAAAATATAGTTTTAGGTTATTTGGTTTTATATTCTCCTTAAGGTTAATTTATAAATTTATTTTTTTACTAAAACTGTGAAATCCTTTTTAAATTTAACTATATATTTATGCGAATGAAGTTGATATAAATAAAAGTTTTATAGGATTTATTAATTTTATTATATTTTCAATATATTTTTTCCCTATTTATAGTTAATAACTATTAAGAAGACTAATTGTACAACATTATAAATTTAAAAATATCAGCTTTCAGTTTCATTTTACCTCCTTATTTGTAGATGTAAAGCTGGTAAAATAATTTGTGTAATTCCATCGGGACATCTCCCATCCGTAAAGAGACCTGGGGGTTCTATAAAAAAATAAAACTCATTCTATAAAACGGAGGTGGGAGTGGGACTACAAGTTCCCCAAAAACATGAATAATTGTATTTTAAAATTGTAAATTGTATATTTTGTTTTAAAAAATAATACTCTTTAGGTCCTGATGTAAGGGCTCTTATTTTGCTGGCTATATTTTTTAAAAAATGTAATTTTGAACGTTCAGAATAAAAATACTAATATAGTATATAGAAAATAAATATAGATGCCATTGATTCTATTCACGGCAAACTTATTTCAAAGAAGATTAGCAGCTTCAATAATAAAAAAAGCAACTCATATGATAGGGGAAATCGGGGCTTATAAGTTCGATCATATTTATTATAGAACGAATTAAATCTATGGTTTGAAACTTAATTCTATAATAAAAAATTAATATACACCTCTCGATTAAAATATTTGTTTTACGATAACATTGAAATTTTAAACACAAAAATATGTTTTGCAAAAATTTAAAGAATATATGTTGATTAATTTTGTTTGAAGTTAGACTAATAAAAATACCACATAACAATATATGAAAGCTTGAATTACCTCTATCACATGTATGAGTTTTATATTATATGTAAGATTATATTTTGGTATTTTTTTATCATACCTTATCACGACTGATAACTAGGGGTACTTGGACCGTGATACGTAGAATCATTTATATTATATCATAAAAATATAAATTTTTATTAAAAATTTTATTATATTTTTTTTTTATTTTATGATAAAATTTTAGATTTTTAGCACGTATTTCTTTTCGGGCACGGTGAAGGAGACCATCTTATCTTCCCACAGTGACTTCGCATATGGTCCTTATGGGATCCAACCTTATTCTTCTAGATCGGTTCATAAACATCCAAATTTCCCAAAATCGTCAACGTATGCAAAAGAATTTTACATAAAAATGTTCCCAGCTTTCTCTTCCCTATTCTTTTTGAAAGACTCATTGCTCTACAGAAGCCAAATAATAACATCCTCATCGGCTCTATATTTTATTTTTTAGTTGCAAAAACAATTTAAAGGGTTATTTATATGTTTCACCCAAAGTAATTTGTTATTTCGCACATAATTTTTATAGATGTGAATCTCGTAAATGGTCCATTCGACTTTCAAATTTGATTAATTAAACTAAATATGTTAGCTACAAAGTAGCGGCCTGCAATGGGGGTTTCTTTATCCGAAGTCTCACCTACTCATTTTCAACTCACTCGCCCACCTATGGTTTCTAAAATAATTTCCTCCACCACATTTTAAAAATTGTTATAAAAAAAATATTTTTTCTTAAATATAAACCCTATTTGATCATTTCATCTAAAAAATATTTTAAATTCACCAACCCAACCGCCCATGAAAATATTTTTAGCCCTCACATTCACGTTTGTCCAAAGTATCGTTGGGTTTGGGCTATGGTAGAGGATCAAGAACCTGCCCAATGCAAACCTTTATTCTACAAAATATATGAAATGTGAAAATTAGTCAATCAAACCGTTTTCATTTGGGATGGTTTTACAACACAATATATTTTAATTATCACTGTTAATTTAATTTTTAAATCAAGATCTAATTTTATCTAACTTCTATTATATGAAATGAAAATATTATTTCGATATACAAAAATTTATTCTAATTATACAAGTTGCCCTTGAAGTGCCGTTAAGGTGGGATTGGGGGATAATAATTATAATTTTTAAAGGCACTAAATTTCCCAAAGGGGATAATTTAACTAGTATTTCCAAATTAATATCAATGTTTTGGATTGATATAAAGATAATTTTGTTAGAAAAAAAATATAGCACTTAAAAAATAAAAATGATTTGTTTCTTTTTAATAATGAGTGTGAGAATTTTTTTTTAAAATTATTTCTAATTGTAAGGAAAATGCGCATGTGATTAATAACCTTTCAAAAAAATAAAATATACAAATCGAATAGAATAGAATAAAATTACGATTTCCTTATTTATTTGAACAAATGGCAGGCTCATAGCATTAGCTTAATATAATAAATAGTGGGGAGCATCAATTTTATTAGTTTGTCCTTAATAATAAAAAAAATTTAACTTTCACATCCATTATTTCCTTTAGAGATTTTAGCTGTAACGTGACTTGAAATCAAATGAATATCTAATAAAAATCGATTAAAAAATCTATCACCTATTATATCATATTATTTATAAATTTTTTTCGAAATATTTATCCCTACTTTCAAGAAAGATTCATAAAACTTTATACGTGTTCAATTTTACAATTATTGTAATAAAATAAATACAACAATATTTTAGTCTATTATATTTTTTTAGATTTTAATTTAATTAATTTTTTTACAGAGCCAACAAAATAAAAAAAACCCACAACAACATAGATTCTCTAGGGATTCATTTTCATTTCTATAGTTCTCTCATTTATTTGCTGAAATTTTTTTTTTAAAAACTATCATTAAAATTTCAAAATTCAATTTTTTGATCATATAATATTTATTGTTATGTCATAATTATATTTTGTTTCCCATAAAAACTTTTAGTGATTCCAAACCATGTTTTAAAGGTCGATATAGTCAATAATATAATATAATGTGCTGAAATAAAAATATACACTTTTTCTTATTTTTAGTATGGTTAAAGTTTTGATTAAAAGCATGTACGGAAACCTTAGTTTCAAGGAGTGCCTCTAGTTATTTTTTTCCCCTCTAATAATAAATATTTTCTAAAATGAATTATTTGGACTAATTCAAACCAAATGATAATATGTACAATAAATTGATTATTATAATATTTTTTTTAATATTTATTTTTTTGTGACTTATTTTTATTATACCTGAGGGAAATTATAAAAAGCACAGGTATATCCTTTTAAAAAATGTCTCGATTCTCCTGTGGTTTACCTTTATTTTATTTTTAATTTAAAAATTATGTTTTAATATAGTTTTTTTTCTTTAGGGAGAAACGATTTCGAAATTTGCCTTTCATATCCATATGGAGAAGTTTTTTTGAATTAATTTCATTTATTTTAAAAGACTAAAATATATTGTTTATTCTATTTAAAATGTTTTTTTAGTTGGTGTTGCTAATGCAGGCGCTTACGCAGGAATTTGGTCTGTAGGGGGGGGGGATAATATAATTTTTTAAGAAATATTATTGTTTTTTAAAAATATCAAGGATAAATTTATTAGGACTAATAACTATTTCTAATACACAATTTTAAATTATTGTGAATTATAAAAAAATTATATGTATAAACCAGCATATAAAAAACTATAAAATAATGTGAATTAAAAAATATTAAACGGATATAACTGGCGGTATATGAAAAACTATAAATTTAT